AAAGATAAAACCGTCAGAAAAAGACCTTGAAGAGTAAATAAATAGTATTCATACCCTCTTGAGTCACTGGGGGTGGTGGAGGTGTAACGGCTGGGGGTGTATCAACTGGTGTAGTTGGTCCCATAGCCGGCTCAACAGGGTCATTCTCAACAAAAACTCCTGTTAAATACAAGTCAGAATTCTCAGAGGCATCACATTATAGCTGCATTAGTCAAAATTGGCTAGTCCTATAATTAATTTGGGAGGAGGCATATACCTTCGAAAGAATCATCCTCAAGATTCTTATCGAACGTAGGCTCGGAAAATATATCTCCGGGTAACTGGCCATCAAATTGAGGAGAGCTATACATGAAGTGGAGTGTAGGAGTCTCCGCGATCAAGCCTTCCTCGTCAAAATCATCAATAGAGAAATCTGACGTAAAAGAATATAAGTACCAAAGAAGAATAAAGAGACTACAACCAACAAAAATGAGTTACCCCTTATGGATGCGTTAGCCTCTTTATTCCCAAAATCCACGTATGCCTCCTGCAAGTTATCTGAAGAAGCAAGATGTACAGAGATGATTAGAGGATGCACAAATTCTTTTGTATACCATCTAAAAGATACATTGTCAATAGTAGATGTACCTGGATCTGCGGAATCAGGTCCTACATTGCTATCCTCCCTAATGTCGGCAACCCCTGTAGGCCTTTTTAACTGGGGCAGCGGGTCAGGCTCACCAGGAGATACAGGAACGGAATCGGGACTCATTTCGCTCTCTCCACGCTCTCCTATATAGATGGAAAAGCATGAGTCAATGTTCCGAATAACCAAGAAGGTGGTTTACAGAGTAGATGTTACCTCCGTCACTAGCAGGATCATCACCAGCCAAGTCCATATCAGATGCTCGGGAAGCTACACGTGGCTTACGGGCTAATCTCTTCCGCCTAGCAGCAGGGACAATAATCGAAGGTCTCGCCTGGGGAGGGGGACGGAACTCTTCATCCTGGTCAACTGTGGTCCCTGAAACATCAAACCATAGTCAGTTTCAATATTTCTGGAAGATGGAAGGAAAAGATGAATAGCAAACCTCGCTCGGAAAAGTCTTCATAACCTTCAGGATCTCCGCCTGAAGCCTCGTCTGCGGAATGAAAGGTCTTCTTTCCCTCTTCATCAATCCGACGAGTCTTGTTCCGTGTCCTCTGTGATCGAGCGTTTTCCCAAATCCTACGGGAATCAACCTGAGAAGCTTCCTCGGCCTCTAGCTCTGCAATCGGCTTCACGGGGATGGTCTTGTTGGCTGCTAACAACCACTTGCAGCTTAAGAAAGTGAGGTTCAACTGCCGATCAGCACTCGGGAGACTGAATCTAGCACCAGTACAGCCAGTCACGGTCCACAACCACGCACGGAGACCATCTATCAAACCACCGTAGGCCCGAAGCTGCTGACGAGGATTCCCGACGTAAAGCTGATCGTAGCCAAACTGACGAGCGAATCGACAGGGTAGATATGGCTCTATGAAGCACTGATCCCTCACCCGAAAAGTCAAATAACCTGGCCTAATGTTTACCAGCCAGTTAAAGCACCCGATGTCCAAGTGAGTTCGATACTCTCTCGGCCTCTCCTCATCTGTCAAACTATCGCCGTATCGGCCGGAGAACTGCGGAAAGCAAGTGGAAAATGTCCAACACTTGTGGACCTGCAGCTGCTGCCTGACGTCAGAAAATCCGCGCCCCTCCCACTTGCCGTTCTGAAGCAACTGTAGTAAAGGAACGGAATGATCTGTGGCGCTCGGTACCGACATCATATCAGGACGGTGAAGAACAAACCAAGCCATCAAGTAAGTGTACGGGAGCTCTGTCTTAAGGGTGGGAATCTGAGTCGGCTTTTCCTTTTCCTTCCGTGTAAAGGCACCAGAAAGCTGTCGAAGTCCTCGGTGAATGTTAGCCACCATCACCGGAAGAAGTGAGAGTTCTTTCTTGTAGGCAAGCTGAACTGCTGGATAGAGTACTTCCAAGGGCAGAGCGTCACAAGACTGATATGAGACCACGCATTTCTTTAACCAAATAGCGAGGAAACCGGCAAGAAGGGTCATGGGTCGAATCGGTGCGGTAGCATGCCACAAGAATGATTTGAACTTAGTCCCTGCAGGAAAACCACCCTCAGAACTGCTAGTGGTATAAGAATGAGCGTCAATCTTCTTCATCAGAATGTTCACCCCTGAGGGAGTAAGTGGGGCCAACTCACAAATAGCCTCGCCAGAATTACTCTCCAGATTCTTGAACAAATAATTGGCAAACTGCTTCAGACTCACGAATGTCTTAGTCCTCTTTGCTAAAGGCTCAGACTGCGCCAAAGCTATATGATAGTGACAAGTGAGATCCCATAGAGTCTCGTAGCGATCGGGCATACGATCCTTCAGCAGACTTAATTCATGGTTGGAGGGAAAGTATTCCTGATACAACATCTATCCCATGGGTAAGCCAGAAATCCTGTGCATCTCGTGAAGAGCCAAGCCCAATTCCCCTTGCCGGGTCAGAAAAGTGTTCGAATCTGAATTATAAAGCTCGAACAAAGCACAGAAATGCCTTGCGCTGACAGGCAAGCCATACATGGTGGCACGAACGGCTGCATATAAACCACAAGCGTGCAACTCCTCGCCCCATCGGCTCAAGACATACGTCGTCATACGGGTCCACCAAAACTTGTCCAAAGAATGGACCCAACCATAAATCCTGTGACGCGTCGCAGGCATCTCCCGTCCTAGAGCAGCGAGGCGATTCCTCAAGGTAGAAGCGGTGGCGAGGAACTCGTTACGTGGTGGTGCATCCAGCCCCAGTACTCCGGGACGCAATCCGGTGATGTGACTTCTGCTCGAGCCAGGAAACGCCTGATGAGTGATGTAGCCGCAATGGACGCTCTCATGCTCCTCCGTCAAGCGCCACGACATCTCCCGTGTCACGGCCTGACGCCTGAGCTCAGTCAATGAACGACGCCGAGGAATCTTCGGCAAGTATATGAAGCCACTGCCAGTTTTATGAAGCCACTGCTCAGCCTCAATAAACACGGCATCCGGGTCTTCGACAGAGTCGCCAAATAAGAAATCACTCTTCCGAAGAGGCTGAATAGAACTGGCGTCCTTCACAAGAGGTGCATCGGTAATCAACTATCGAAGAACTCGGTGCCCACCTTCCTTCACCGCCTGGGCAACCTCAGTCGATGTGCCCAAGACGAACTGAGGAGTGACCGGGATAGGGGAAACATCGTCGGAGGTCGAATAATACTCGCCACGACGCCCGTATACTGCGTGAGATGAGAACGCTCCAGAAGGGTATTCAACTAAGAACAAGCAATTAAACGTTTGTTAATTCCAGTTATAAAAGGAAATTGAACTCATCTTACGAAGGGGTAAGATAGAGTCATTGCCTTATAAAGGGTGTGACGTTTTGGCCACGTTGCGCCTTCATAAGATAGGGTATATCGACAATATATCCCTGCCTTATAAGGCACAACGCAGCGACAAAACGCCCCCTTTATTTATTATGAGATAGTGTTTTGACCAAGCAAAACATATCTTTGAAGCGTCGATCCTCACCAAGGAGAATCAAGGCTTTTCCCGGTTGCCTCACCAAGGAGAACAACGGGGAGTAAAAAAAGAAAAAGGACCAATTTGCAAATTTCCAAGAAAAAAATGGACTAATTTGTAAATTTCAGAAAAAAGTGGCTCACCGGCATAAGAGGGAGGCGCGCCATCAGTCGGCGCGGTAGAGGATTGACCCCTCGCCATACGGGACATAGAGACCTGCAAGGTAAATTGAGGGATCAGATCTAGAAAAGGAAAAATCCCATTTTTACCCCAAAAAAGGCAAGTTTGAGGCATCAAATCACACCCTCAACCCTTATATGCGATCCCGCGACTCCATACACTAGATCAAACATGAAATAGATCAAGATTGCGGAGAATTTACCAATAGAGGGAGGAGGTGGCCGGCCCTAGAAAGAGAGGAAGAAAAAGAAAAAGAATAAAAAAAGAACCCCTTTTATAGCCTTGAACCAGATCTGGCTGAACCAGACCAGACCAGGGCTGAACCAGACCAAGCCAGATTGAGCCAGATTGAGCCAGGTTGAGCCAGATTGAGCCAAAATGAGCCAAATTGAGCCAGATTGAGCCTGGCTGGACCAGACCAGACCAGAATGAGCCAAATTGAGCCAGATTGAACCAGAATGAGCCAGTTTGAGCCAAATTGAACCAGTTTGAACCAAATTTGAACCAGAATTCAAATTGGAGCTGAATTAAGCATTGAAACGACTTTTGATCAACCTACGGTTCAGTCCTTCACCTATTTAACCCCTCTACCATATATTTGGAAGGGTCGGAGAGATTTTTGAACCCAAATACTGCCTTTTTGGCACATTTTTTTTGGGCCGGTTCAGATTATTCGAACCTAAAGAATACTCCAATAAGGTATACGAGTATAAACTATTCCCTCCTCTTTGTTGAGAAGTTTCTGGAGAATATTTTTCTAAAAATATTCTTAAGGATAACTCAACATAACTCCCAGGAGTGTATGAGTATAAACTAGACCTCCCCGCTCCAACTCCTTAAGAGCTTAAACTGTGTAGACTCCAAAATACTTACGAGTATAAACTGTGTTAAACGCCGGACAACGCGTCACAATGAAGATTCAAAGCCGTCAACCGATGGTCAATTTCATGTTGAAGCAACTAACTCGAGCTAAAAAGCCAGGAAATCAAGAATCGACTTCAAATTCAAAATTCCGACAACGGTCAGACAATAAATGCAGCACCGGAACCCTCTCAAGCATTCGACAAAGCACCGAATAGCCTGGAGGATTGAAGGAATCGAGAATAGAAGCTATTCCAAGAGCCTGTTACACCGATTGAAGGTTGGGACAGTCATATCCAAAGTATTCCAGACTCTTCTATAAAAGAACGAGGCTGGAAAACTTTGGAGGGGGTATCTGTAGGCATATAAAATTGCTTATAGGTCCCTTGACACGGTTCAACAAGAACTAATGAACCATCAGGCGACGTATCTAAGCACGAACGTCAGTCCACAACACCGAAGCCAAGAAGGAATCGAGAATAGAAGCTATTCCAAGAGCCCGTTACACCGATTGAAGGTTGGGACAGTCATATCCAAAGTATTCCAGACTCTTCTATAAAAGAACGAGACTGGAAAACTTTGGAGGGGGTATCTGTAGGCATATAAAATTGCTTATAGGTCCCTTGACACGGTTCAACAAGAACTAATGAACCATCAGGCGACGTATCTAAGCACGAACGTCAGTCCACAACACCGAAGCCAAGTGACACGCAACGAAGCGGATTAACAAGGCTACGAAGCTGACGAACTGCACGTGAACGACGGAATGAATCCACTCGCGTGCGGAATCAAATCAACGGTCCAGGGAGCCAACGAGTCATCCAACCATATAACGGATTCGAACTCAGACACCAAAGCCGATTTACTGCCTAATCGGGATCCAAACTTCCAAATCAGGAATCAAATCAACAAATAGATTTCAGACCAATCAACCGCATAACCGAATCACGGACGAAGCGGATACAAGGACCAAAACAACCGGACGACGGACACACACAAAGCCCGGAGTGGCTCGGCCAAGGCCGAGCCACCTTGGGGTGGCTCGGCCAAAGCCGAGCCACCTTGGGGTGGCTCGAGGGGTGGCTCGGCTGAGCTGAGCCACCCTGAGGTGGCCGCCCAGATCTGTGCCAAATGCACAGATCTGGTTGCCTATAAATAGGCGGGGTCATTCATCATTTTGGGGTACTTTTGGAAGAACTTTTGGAGAGCCGAAACTCTGCCGGATTGAGACCTCATATCGGAGTTCTTTGAAGGCTTGAATACTTGGACGTTCGGATCTGATTCTCGGCGAGCACCCGCATCACAAAAAAGGCAGGAGTTCGAGGGGATCGAGATCTCAGATCTACGCTGTTACACTCCGGATCTAAGCTTGGTCTTAGATCCCGAGACTTGGACGATTGTTTCCTTGGTGAATCAATCCTCCCCGGCTATTATTTCATTTGTGAAATAATACCCGTTATACTGCGTAGATCTGTCCGGATCTAGATCGCGCGGTGGTCCACGGCAAACAACCCCGGCGCAGGCAAACAACCCACCAAAGCGAGTGACCGAATAACAGGAGCTCGCGATCTGTTCACAAGGAGAAAAAGTTGTAATTTTTGATTTTCTTTATTTTTGATTTTTCATTGTAACCGGATCTAAAAAAAAATACCGGATCTTTTGTAACGTAAAAACTGTTATTTAAGAGTGCAATGGAATCAATAACAAAGAAGGCAACGAATTTTCCCGCGAACACTATCCTTAAAGGCGCCTGGGTGGTTATCAACTGCAGATGATGTTAAAACACTTGATCTTATCAGAAAATACGGTGACAAAAGCCTATAAATAGAAGCCCAAGGTCTTCATTAGGGAGGATCTAAAATCTAAGGGTGAGCTACTGTCCAATTAAACAGTAGACCAAGAATTTCAGAGGAGAATTGATAGATCTTGGCGAACTTTTTATAAAGAAAAAGTCTTCGAAAGATTTGAGATTCTCTCCCCCTCTTTCCTCCGGATCAAACCTGGTTTTGATCTCGAGAAGAGCCACAATCTCGCTTGGTCGTGATTGTTGCTCCTGCGATTGTTTCCTTCGTGAAAAAGGAGCATAATTAAACTTGTCAACCGGATCTGATCTGCAGTGGTCCACGGACTAACACATCCCCGGCACAGGTAAAGATCCCACGCAAAACAACAGGAGATAAACTACTGCTACATTTTGTTTCATAAAGTTGTAATCTTTAATTTTCATTGTAAGAAGATCTTATAAAAAGATCAACTTTTCTTTCAGCTTGAACTTGTAATCGATAAACGATTGTAACAGGTTTAACAATAATGAAAATGATAACTTTTGATGAAAATAAACTGGCGACCACAGTGGGAGCCGATAGCCTTTCTGCGAAGGCTGTGGTGTCGTAACCAAGGATTCTCATCGCGGTTGACAAAGAGGTTGAATACGAGTTCGACCAACAGAAGTATGAAGCGTATATTTCTTCCTCCTCTAGATCATCTTCTCCTCAAAAGAGCAAGAAGATCTCTTCTACAAGGAAAGTTCATTGGTCTTCATATCTAAAGACCCAAAATGATGAGCTCTGCACCATTACTACTATAGTTTCATCCCCTAACGCTCCTACGATTTATGAAGAAGCCTGATCTTCAGAACTAAACCTTTCCTTGGTCAAAGAGCCTACTACTAAAGGCGTGCCAACTCTGTCAAAGAGAGCACGACAAAGATGACGCTAACGCCTTGCACGCCAACTCGCCAAGGCATTGGAGCCAGTAGACGGGATCCGTTATGAGGCAGACCTGAGGTTTAGGAGGCGCCAAATGCCACAACAGCGAGCTAGTATCTTCTCCTCCAAACCAGCAGCAGATGAGTGGATCTGTGTCAAAAAGACCCATTCAACTCATGAGGAACATGTTCAGAAACGTCACGCATTACTTGCACACTCAAGAATCCTTATGCAGGAAGCCAATAAACTACAGAAAGAAGAGGTGGCCTCAAAACCATCAAAACTACGCAAAGTATGGAGAAAAAAGGGTAAAAAGACGTCCGAAAACGTCGAAAAAGGGAATTTGCCTCTTACTGACTCGGTCAAGGCTGAGTCACCACCTACTGACTCGGCCAAGGCCGAGTCACCATTTACTGACTCGGCCAAACTTACTGACTCGGCTAAGGCCGAGTCACCAAATGGTGACTCGCGCCACCTCCGAGCCACCAAAGCTTGTTTTGCTTCCGCTTCGCTTCCTATAGTCCTTTTTGAGCCTCCAATGACCTCTGTTCCCATCACAACAAACTCTACACCTCCCTTAAAGCTTCATGATAGCGTGAACTTATCCAGATTCAAAATAAAGATTACCCATCATCTCGGTCATTTGCATGAACATCGAGGTAAAGCTCCGATTAAAGAACGTTTGGCTTCAGCAAATGAAAGCCAAACAACTCATCAGACTAGGGGTCGCACACGTCCTCCCAACAAATTTAGAGTCCCTCATGCTGAGAAATTACTCGCAACGACTCGCCTCGGATTGCAAGTTGAAGTCCAAGAGCCCGTTGAAGACTCGCATTTACAAAGGCGTAGTTCCAAACGAGTGACTCTTGAGAACACCAGGGAAGTGTGTTCGTCAGAAGATGATGATGTTAAACTGGGAAAATCATACCCACACACGATAGGTTGCTTCGATGATCACATCGTTAAGTTGTACTATCAGGCTGGGGGTACACACAAATCTCGAAAGAGAAATACATGGGAAACAGATTCCTACTGTCCATGTACCAATCTCATCAAGGCAGTATTATCAAAATGTAAATGCCCTGAAACAACTCCACAAAGGGTCTCGGTATTTAAAAGACTTTCTACCCAAACGTTAAGACCTAAGTCAAGGCGTTTTCGTAAAAGAAGACCGGTTGTTCAAGACGATGAACTTCCAGAAGTATCCGCCAACATGACTGGTAAAGAGAAGCTGAACTGTTTGCAGAAGTATCACAGCGCATGACTTGGCTGTGGTCTGGAACTGTCAGACCTAGACCCAGGAGATCACAGTCCTCAGAAGATGAGACTTCAGATGCTTGCTCTGCATTGGCTTCTGATGATATGGCATCTAGCGCGGGACAATCCTATGAGTCATTTATGATCAACACAGAACAAATGACTAAAATTCTAGAGGACGCTCTAGCCAAACAAAAAGAGAACTTCAAATTTGAAATGGAGATGGCTATGCAGGAGATGAGAGATATGCACAACCAACAAATTGCGGCGCTGACGAACCAGCAAGGAGAGTCCAGCCGACGCAATAATCCTAACCAAGTTGATAGTGATCGAGAAGTAGATGAGAATATCCATGTTGAGGCCCCTCTTGTTGACAACAATACTCGGGTAATACCAATGCAAAAGAGGACTACGTCATTTCTCCCCAGGATCATTCAAAGAAAGATGAGGGTGAAGGACTCAAGATGAAAGACCTCGAAAGCAAGATTAATGCTTTAATGTCTGCTCAAGAGGTAAAGAAGACCGGTATTCAACGTCCTTATCCGAGGGGATGAGAATCAATTTCATACCCGGCAAAGTTCAACCTGATTAACTTCGTGCCATTTGATGGAAGTGGTTCACCTACCCAACACTTAATTTATTTCAAGTCTTACCTAGGGGTCATTTCAGGCAATGAACCTCTGATGGTACAGCCATTCGTGGGAACTCTTCACGCAGCCGCCTTTGATTGGTACCGCTAACTCAAGCCAGGAAGTATCAATAGCTAGGATGAGATGGAGACTATGTTTCTCACCAACTTCTTCGATGATGAAACTGAAATGTCGATTGGAACACTCTTTGATGAGAAACAGAAAGACGGAGAACTAGTTGAGAACTTCGCTAAGTGTTTCCGGAATAAGGTAATGAACTTTCGAGATCCGATCACAGAAGAATTTATTCTCCAAACGTGCCACAACAACCTTTCCTTGGATGTATTAGAAGTTATGGGCATGACACCATCCAAAACATGGAAAGAGTTGAAGGTACAATGGGAGCAAGCTGAACGCTTCCTTAAGAGGAAGAAAACTAAAAGGGGTCAGCCACCTAATAATGCCCCGAAATAGAATGTCACCCACCTAATAATGCCCCGAAATAGAATGTCACCCCCCTTGGTAAAGGTAAGTCACAGGCAAATGTAGCGGATACAAATCAGACATTCCAATTACAACCCCAACAGCAGCCGCAACAACAATTGCCATGCCAGCAAACACCCCAATGGCAACAACGACCTCCAAGGCAACAGAAGACTACTGAACCAAAATTCCTAAAAGAATATTCTTTCAAGGAAGATGAGGTTCCTAGTATTTTTAAATACTTGTTGGAGAACGATAAAATTAAGCTACCCCCAATCACTGATCATGAGGAAGCTAACAAAACTATGGACCTGTGATACTGTACATTCCACAGAACAGTCCACCATCCCACAAAGGTATGCTACGCTCTCAAAGACAAAATTCAAGCCCTAATCGATGTGGGTATTATCACTCCAAAGCAGCCTAAGGAAAAGAAAGTAAGCGCAAATACAGTTTCTATCAGCTTTGGATCGGTCCCTATGTCATGGTTCCAACCAGAGCCTGTACCAAAAGTGAAAGTGAAAACTATTAATGATGATCTCCATGGATAATGACAGAAGGGACTTGTGCAATACACAACTTCTAACGGTGAAATTCTTTGGGTCCATCTAGATTTGCTCAATGATGAGCAATGGGCAGGTTCCTCATCTAAGAGTAAGTCCAGAAACAAGGACAAATCCTACTGTCCCGCCATGGCAATTCCTAAAAAAGATGATGAAAGTATCCTTACTTTATCGCTTTCTGAGGATGAATAAGAAGTGTTCGCTACTAGGGGTGGAAACAAGTACAACTACAAGTATCCTGAAACCTCTGACCCAAATGTTAAGACATTGACTGAGCTGGGGGTGGCTACAACTCCCCCTGCACCCGCAGCAAAATCTCAGCAACAACCGGCTAGCAAACAAAAAGGAAAAGAACCCTAACACCAGGAGGTCCAGAACCCGAAGCAGTTTCGATTCAATCACCCTATTGGGAGAGATAAACCAGGGAATTTAAGCACACCATACCGCTTTGACGTTATGACTCAGCTAGCTAACATCCTAGCAAAAATAACTTTGTATGAATTGTTGTGTCTCTCTAAAGACACGAGGGAAGCCTTGCGAGAAGCCCTAGCCGATGCCGACGTGTTTCTCACTCACATCAAACCAGCTCCTAAAGATCCAGAACCCTTAATTCAACATTGTGATCTGACGGCTAAACAATTCACTTGCATAACGTTCACCAAAGATGATATGTAAGTTAGAAACTCAAAGCATGATAGGCCCATATACTTCACCGGGTACATTGGCTCTAGCGTCGTTAACCGGATCCAAGTCGATCTGGGTTCCGCTGTTAGCATCATGCCTCTCCGACTGATGTACAATCTTGGGATCCCCACAAGCAGATTAATTCCTGTGGATGTCTATTTGTTGGGCTGTCTATTGCCCACCCAAACCAGAAGCAATTATAGATGCTATAACGAAACTTCGTAAGAAGATATCTCGAGAAATCTTTGAAGATAGAACTTTGTCTCAACAGGAAAATCAAAGTCCTATCTCATCTGGTTGATAGTACCCGTCCTCCTCTCTTTGAAACAAGGGGTAAAATATGAGCAACATCAAATCCCTCTAGAGCCTAAACTTCCAGTTCTCCTACTCATTGTCCCCCCTGCTTTGCCCTTCCCCTAAGGGGTTGTTGTGTAACAAGTGCATAATGTCCACTCGAACCTCCCACGCAAGAAAAGAAGGTGAAGTTTGTGATTAGATATTGAGCCACCCCACAAAAAACCTCGAAAGATCTTCTCAAGAGCATCCAATTTTTAATAAGGAATCCACGCATTCGCCATGAGGATTTCACACCAGCCCATTGTAGATTCTAGCTGAGAAGAGCTGGAAAAGTAGAAGGATAAAGAATGTTATATATCTCAGGAGCTAGATCAGTTCCTGATGAACAAGCTATTTTAATAGCTTGAGACGAGTACAGTAAGGATCAGAACCGGACAACCTCCTTTAGTCAAGCAAGTCCGTAATACAAAAGTAAAAAAAACTCCATCCGCAACGTCGAATGAAAGGTCAAGTCAAAGAATAAAGAGAAAAATGAATCTGTGCACCCTTCATCAGAACAGTCTCTTATTCGGACTGGATTTCAAACATAGTCCCGGTTAAAGCTTACCCCAACCAGTGAAGTGAGCCAGTCCACATGAGGCAATCAGTAGTGGTTAGGCCGGCCGTCAGTACCTGGTTTTGTAGCCCCAATCCCTATCGTATCCAGTCACCAACATTGGCATAAAAAAAGTCTGAATGGATAAATAACACATAAATCGAGGGCGATGCGGATCCTCAGACATATATGAAATTGGGATTTATCTTCGAACTTTTTCAGAATTACCCAACTTGAGTTATGAGTACGAATGATATTTCTTTTATTCTGTAAATAAGAACAAAAAACGACTCAAATCATAAATTCATGATTTTATGGATCCATTTGTTATTATATACAGAAATATTCAAACTTCACCTTCTTTTCTTACGTGGGAGGTCAAGCAAAAGCGTCCGTTAGTATGGAACATTTTCTTTTCCAAGTGAAATCCCCTAGTATATGAAAGAATGAAAAAGTGCTTTCGTTGTTGTGGAATAAGAAGCCTTCGTATCTTAATGCATGTATTTAATTTATTCGAAGCTATTAGAGCGGGATCCACTTTTTGGGGAATATTAGTCGAAGCAATAACAAGAATATTTATAGTGGAACATCTTTGCTCAGGTGCTCTTTTTCCCGTTATCTTCCCTAACGTTCAGAGTTGTTCTGGTTTGAGAAAGGAGCACCGCCCCCTCAATCCCCCATTTAGAGAATGACGGAACTGTGCCTAAACTAAAGGCTCGAAGAGTAATCCCTACCTATAGACTAAAGAGCTAAAGATATACAAGGAAGCGGGAAAGGAAGTAGAGGTAGGGATAGCAAAGGAAGTAGACCCCGCTAAGGATAAGGAGGGTAGGACTGGTAATACCAACCCGGCTGAGTTGTGTCAGTCTTTCAGCGGCCGACATGTTAACTCATAGGAGTTAGATATTGTAGTCTGTTGCATGATATGAACGAATAGGGTCATATCTAGTATTCAGAGTTTGCCTCGATTTGGTACCGCTCTCGCGGGTGCCTGTCGATTCGATGACTCCGGAAAAAGGTGGCATCGGCTTCTTACTTTGAAAAAAGGGCCGAGGACAAGTGAGCAGTTGAATATCTGACAGGCGGCTAGCCGACATAACTAAAAGGAATAAGCTTAAAGAGGAACATCAACCGAAGAAAAGATATATACGCCAGCGATTCAATACCAGTAGGTCTAGGCCATTGGGTAAAATCTGAGTAAAATGCCAACTTGGGGATTTAAAATCCGAAGTCACGTGCTACGTGATTGACGCAGAAACCTCCTATAATTTACTATTGGGATGACCCTAGATCAACGGTAATCTTATCATCCCCTCCACTCTCCATCAATGTCTAAAATATGTAGACCCTAATAATGAGATAAGGACGATGGTCGTGGATAAACAACTGTTTAAGGTGTTAGAAAATTACTTTACTGACTCCCTTCTGTACGATGCTGAATCTGACACTGAATCATCGGCTCAAGACACAGACAGCGGAGAGGAAGCAAATACCGAAGCTAGGCTTGATTACAATAGCGGTTTTGTACCAAATGACATTGTACCCTTTGTAATCAGCCCTGATGACGGTGAATCGTCAGACAGTAGTTGTAATTGGCAACTTGCCAAAGAAGTAATAAACGATGACTTAGAGTACTCTCCGTGTCTAGATGATGTAATGTAGGGATTATACGAGAACCCTGACATACACATGCCGCTTCGGTCATCCTGCTTAACATCGAAGCATGTACAAGGCTCATTTGGAACAACCCTCATCATTCCTGCCAAGGCAGGGGGTGGAAAAGAGTTAGTTTTTGGCAAAGGGAAGACGTTCCCATCGTCAAATCCATTTTTAAAGGAAAATAACGATGAAGAGAAACCCGGACCTCATCTCTCCAAGTATAGTCAACAATCGCGTGATTTAATAAAGAAATGGGGATATAATTTCGCGCTTGAAGAGGGTCTCTGTTTTGGTCGAGGCCCATGAGTCCCACCTCGTCCGGCCTATGTACTGAAAGAAAAATCTGACAATTACTATGGCTATAAAAGGGGCCTTGGCTACGCTTCTTCATCTGATGAAGAATGTTGCTGGCAAGTCCTCGATCAATTAGCAAATAAGGATGGA